TAGACAAAAAAAATAATGACAGAGGAGAGTGGAATACATGCTTCCTAAGTTCTTGCTGTATTCTCCATGTTTCAACCTCTCATATTTTTCATCTTTATCTCTCTGAGGAACATTCAGGATTATTTCTTCAGATCTGTCATCCCATTTATCCTGTCCTAAACTGTACCTAGTCAACTATTAAGCTTACCCCAATTTGAGGTTCTCCTTTGCTATTTCAATTATTACATTTTTTTCATTTTTAGAATTCTATCTTCTTATTCATATCTGCTTAGTCATCTGTTACAATTTCTTATTCCCCAGAAATATTTTCAAGCTTGTCTTTTATTACTTTAAGCATGTTGAAGATATTCATACTGCAAGTTCTAGAAAAGTTTTTACTTGCACGTTCCTAACTGGAAGAAAGAGCTACCTGAAATTATTATACCTAGCTGAACTGCTATTCATGAGGAAAGACAAAAAGAAAACATTCCTCATCATAAAGAGACTCAGAATACCTTGAAAACACCCACTCAGTGACAAAAGAAGACCATCTAAGAAGTCAATCAAAGCAAGTATTTTAAGACGGAGGACACAAGGAGGAAAGAGTCTATCTAAATTCAGAATTAAGACTAAACAACTCTGCCCATTAGGATTCCCACACCGACTAAAAATAATGGTACATTTATGCTATAAATTTATAATATAATAAAATAAGTAGATGGGGAGAGGAGGCTGAAGAAACTACAAGGCTGATAAGTTCTTCATATTTCTTAAGAAATCTACCATGGTGTAAATCTAAAATTACACCATGGGGCTAAAAAAGTGATTCCAACACCTTAAAGTGATTATAATGTTTTCATTATAGACAAACCTTTTAGTAATTAATATTTTTCATAAAAGAATGTTTATTTGAATTTCAGCAATTCTTTGTTTCACTTTCTTCTGTTAAATTCAAATAAAATTCAGAGCTCTTCATTAAAAATACATTAAGAATCATTAAGAAATAAAGATGCCATGGTCATGAAGTTCTCTGTCAGTCCCTCACCCCCACCCCAGCATTTCTACATACACTCTCTTGCATCTGCTTTCACCTCAGTCAGCCTCTGTCTGGTTTTACCTTTATCTGTCTCTGTCCATGGTTGGCTGCCTTCCTGTCCACCTACACCTGCCTGCCAAATTCTCTGTCTGCTTATCTGTCTGTACCTATGAACCTGTCCCTCTACACCTCCCTGCTCACCTCCATCTCTAGCTGGCCTGTCTACACCCATCTGTCTGCTCTTCTATGCCTGCCTGTCAGTTTGATTATATCTATCAGCTCATCTGTAAGCTCTTCTGTGTGCCAGGCTGATCTCTGTCTGTTTGTATCCTGCCTTACCCACCTCCTCTCTGCCAATCTCTTATCTGTTTATCTACCTAGCCAGGCCAGTAGCCAAATATAAACATATAGAAATACCTGGAATGATGCTCTTCTTAAATTAATAGTGAGTTGTGCTTTGAACTTTTTAGACCCATGACCTAAGTAAGCCATTTTATAGAAGGATATACTATTTGTGTATAGTATATACATAAATAAATTTTTTTTGTAGAAGTTTCACAGAGAAATACTAATCCTAACAACATGCAGTACACTCTGAAATGTTCTGGTCTATTCTATTACATTATTTAAAAAAAAATACCAGTTTTTGATGAGCTGATTTCATGACCTACAAATGGTCACAAAAGGTAGTCTGAAAAACACCAGTAATAAGACAAATTTCCAGTGGAGTGAGCCTGAGAACACAATTGCCCTACCTGAAGCTTCTACCATTCACTGCTAGCTGCCTGCTGGGAGTAGCAGTACACTGAGGCTGAATCTCGTCTCTACTGTTACCATCTATTTCCACTGCCTGCAACTCACTGAACCATCCAGTCCAAGGAGACTTGCACAGTTAGCCCCTGCCACGAGCCACTCTGCCCCCATGGCTCCTCATCTGCATTTATTTCCAGGCCACATACATGGACATCTGATCTTCTGCCACCACCACGTACTGTTCTACAGTATACACACACACCTTACCTCCCCACTGAGAACATGCACTTCCTGAATGTACATTTTAAACTTTAATGGCCTTTAGGCTTAAATATTAATCTCTGAATACTTTAAAACTGAAAAAGAAATCACAAGTATGAAAGAAGTCACATTTTGCCATCCATAAAAGAAAAATTCATCATTGACCACAAGAGGGCAATAGAATGCAATGTTAAAACTCACGTCCCTTCAAGTGTCTCTACTTCATATTTTAAAATGTGCAACATTCATATTTTAAATTTCACATATATGCTTTCAAATTAGATTTGATGAAGAATAATTATAAAATGTAAAAAATATTTTTTTTGGCTTCACAGCACAAAGATGTCTCAGAAGTTCAATCATAAGTAGTCTGCAGTTGCCTATCAGACCCAAGCTACTTCAGAATGGAAGTAGGACTTAGGACTTAAATGGAATTCAGAATTTAGAGCATGCTCTTGCCAGGGGTGAAATACCAATAATGGAGGCAGACAGACTCTGGGTATAAAAAACAATTTACATAATAAAGGTAAAATCACATCAATTTACCATGTATCTCTTGTGTAAAATTTAAAAGCTTTGTCAATAATATCTAGCTTTTGTAGTAAGCACTAGCTTCCAAGGGTTCAAAACACTGTTACAAATTGGGGTCTGCAAAATATGGCCTGTCATCCAAATTCAGACCACCACATGATTTTCATAAATAAAGTTCTTTGGGAACACAATCATGTTTATTTGTTACTTGTTGTCCATGGCTGCTTTCTCACTATGAAGGCAGAGCTGAGCAGCTACAACAGAGCCCACGTAATCAATAACGCCTGAAATATTATCATCTGGTCCTGTACTATATAAAGTATTTGATCTCTATTCTCAATTATATGCTCTCTATGCCCTTGATGTTTCAACTCAAATTGAAGTGTTACCAAGCACCTTCTGCAAGTACAACAGGAACACAACAAGGCAACATTAATGGAGGGAATAGGGTAGATTTTCAAATTATGGACATAGAAGAATGTTTCGGCAGCAGGACATGTATAGTCAGATGACACAGCAGGTGTGGGCTCCAAGGAGCACACTGGTCAAAGGAAAAGGAGGGAACAGGAGTGAGAAAGCCCCCTGCATGACTTACCCAGTGACGGTTCACAGAAGGAGCAGGAGACGAGGAGCCCAGGAGGGCTAAAACTGCACACATGAACATGAGTCTGCTAAAGAAGCATTCAAGTCGGGAGAAGCTGAGGTTAGGGAAGAAAATAAGCTAAGCTTTGTCCTCATTATCATTAAAACACCTCTTAGAATGTCAGATGAGATCACAAATGGGCATTTTAAAAGGCAAATGTGGAAATAAGAAGCAAGGTCTGGACAAAAGGCTTGAGTGGGAGTTGCATGTCACCGATGAAGGCCCTAAGGAGGCAAAGTGTGCAGTGACAAAAGAAGAGGCTTAAGCCCAGAACCTTGGTCGACTCCTGGAATTTGGGGTCAAACAAAAAAAAGGGGCCAAGAAATGAAGACACTGGAAGTGAGAGGAACCAAAACAGTGCTGAGCCACAGAATCAGAAAAGTATTTTACAAGGGGAATTTTCACTACAGTTTAAACTAATATTTTCTTAAGTCAAAAACTTTTATTCATTAAAATTCAAAATATTTTAAAACCTCTAGATTGCTGTGGACTATGCTGGGACTTTCATTCTTGGTTGATTTTTCTTTAATGAAAGTCTCAGAAGTGAAAGGGGTCAATCACTACCTAGAAGTCTCGCCCCTCCACAAAAAGCTCTTCATGACACACATGCATCATTTGTGTGCGTGTACACAATCCCTCCTCCCCACCAATAATGGGTCTCTGCCGTTCGAGGGCCTCACCCTCTGTGTGGGTGCATGGACTAAACCATTACCCCTCCATCACGTGCATATGCCCACAGAAGAGCCAGGTTCTGTTTCCCAGGGCACTAGTACCAAGGAGCAGGTGGCCAGTGGCTCCACCCCACACTACAGAGCTGCTGTTTGCTCCACTGCACTGCAGGTTCTGCTTCCTCTGTCAGAGTTTCTCTAAAGCAGCACTACTGACATTTGGGGCCAGATGTTCTCTGTCATGGGGTAGCAGGGGCCCTGTCCTGTGCTGGTACGGTGTTTAACAACATCGCTTGCTACTACCCAGTAGATGCCTGTAGCACTGCCCCCTCCCCAGTTGTGACAACCCAAAATGTCTCCAGACAGCACCCAATGTCCCCTGGGGGGGCAGAGCTAGCCCCAGTTGTTGCTCAGGGCTGCTAATCGTTGCCTGGCCTCTGATCTATGCTGTCTTCTTCCTCACCTGCACCTACTTTCTTGTTTACATTTCTCCTATTCCACCCACCACAGTGTCCAACATAGGTATGCTATGTCAGCGTCTTGGCCTCAGCCCTTGCTTTCCTTTTATTCCTCTCCCCACTCAGCTTATTTCTCTGAAGTCATAAATATTTCTATCATATGCATTATTTGGTGTCATAAATATTTCTATCATATTTCTATCATATGCATGCCATGCATATGTGTAGGGAAAGTACACGTGTTTGCAGAAACGTCCAGAGAGCTCCCTCGGACCCTGGGAACACCACCAGCCTGAGGCTCTTCTTTGTGATGTTCATTTGTTGCTGAGTATTCAGCAAGGGCTTTCTTCCCACCTACCACTGGGTTTATGGGAGCACAAGGGTATTTGTGGGATGATTTGTTCATATACAGAATTTCCTCTCCATGTGTAGGAATTTTACAAGAACAAAATTTTAAAAAATCCTAAAAGAAAAATATCACAACACTCCACATGACAAATTCATAGTGGGATTAGAGGGATAATTATTCAGTCTTGTAATGTAGCCCAACACATCCATAGTATTTCTTGCAGTACTATGAGCAAAAGAACAAGAACAAAACTCTTCAATTTCATGAACTTACACCACACACACACACACACACACACACACACACACACACACACACTAACCTGGCGAAAGACTTCGTTCACAAAGTTGACATAACCTCGTGTTGACAAGAGAATCCGCTGCACCATTTCATACACTGTGCGGTGCTCTTCTTCAATGCTACAAAGGCTGGAGTTGCTGAGTCTTCGGTCAGACAAGGTGCTGCTGTTGGAATGGTTTCTGTCCTGCTCTGTGGGCCCACTGCCATCCAGCTCTGGTGCTCTCTCTTGCCCTGCACCACCACCAACAGTCTGGAAAAAAGTCATTACCACTTCTGAGAGAGCCTTGTCTTCAACCCTCAAGAACACCCAGTGAACCTGAAGGCTTGTTTCATCTTAAAGAACTCTGGTAACCGTCAGCTTAACAGCAAGCTGGACAACAGCATTGCTCGGAGCACAAGGGGTTCCAGGACCTGTACTCACCAATTTTCCAATTCACCAACTAACCCCTCTCCAACTCAGTTATGTTAACAGGAAAACTACTAAATTATTGCAAGGAGGTGAGGCTGTGAAAGTCCAGCAACCTACAAACTTTAATTTACATTTGTAAAATCACATAACAAATTGTGTCAGTGAATTTACACTATGATCACCTCTGGCCTCTAAATTCAGCACTTACTCTACGGTCACAGAGATCTTGAAGTTCAGTGGAATTTTTGCAGCCACAATGTTGGAAAGCATCATTTGATTCAAAAGATTAAATGATATCTGATGGAAGAGTGTCAAGATCTTTAGAGGGTATTTTATAAGAAGAATTTTGATCTGATTTTTATATTCAGAATCTCAGACTGAACTTAACTGAAATATTTACAAAACTTTATTTAGAAAACTTTATGAGCACAAGGAAATAAAATAATTCATGCAATGACTCACAAAGTTTAATGTTGAATTCTGCTCTCATCTCCCCATAGAACTAAAGGTTTCCTCCAAATAAAATACACATATAATTTTGCTTTGTTTTTATAAATTCCACTATTACTTTTTAAGTGTCAAAAATGTATAAGCCAAATACCACTAAACTTCTACCCACTGTGAATATGTTTTACAAAAAGTGATAACATATGAGTAGTACAAAATAATAATTTCAGTAACTACCAGGACAGTTTGAAAGCAGATATCCAAATAGCAATCTCTAGGGAAAATTAATGGAAGATTATATTTATAACAATTTTTCTCTTCATGCCTTAGCTATTTAAGTCTGTGTTGCTTATCAAAGGCACTGTCATACTGTGAGATGAGCTGTCCTATAGAAATTATTTCATCCTACTGACGCATCAACTATCTTCTGTAGAAAAATAAAATTGTACTTATTTTTCTGATACACACACACACACACACACATACATATATACACACATATACATATATATACATATATATGTATATATATGTGTGTATAGATAGATATAGATATAGATATAGATATAGATATAGATATAGATATAGATATAGATATAGATATATAGATATATAAAGGTTGGATTAAGTTTAATGTCTCTTGTGGCTCAATAACCTGTGACTTTTTGATCAATAATTCCCATTTTCCTCATAGGCAAAAAAAGAAGAAAAAACCCTCATGTATATATACACATATGGCAGCAAATTAAAAACTGCCACAAATTTGGGGCGCCTGGGTGGCTCAGTCAGTTGAGCGTCCGACTTCGGCTCAGGTCATGATATCACGGCTCGTGAGTTTGAGCCCCATGTCGGGCTCTGTGATGACAGCTCAGAGCCTGGAGTCTGCTTCAGATTTTGTCTCCGTCTCTCACTGTGCCCCTTCCTCATTCATGCTCTGTCTCTCTTTCTCTCAAGAATAAAACATTTAAAAAATTTTTTTAAAAACGGCCACAAATTTGATCTACACAGGCTGTGTGACTGTGTTAACAAGTGTAATAGAGTGGAAGAGACCTGTTCCAGTTTCAGGCCGAGGCCAAAAGGCTGACAGTTACCACTTCCCACCTTTTGGAACATTTGCTAATAGAGCCCTGAATAGCCAGGGAAGAAGTCTCGCGACCCTACCAGAGAGACTGCATGGAAAGAGAGGCCCTGCTGAACCCTACTTTCCAACTGCATCCAGGCATTTGAATAGTCATCTTGAACCAAGATGCCACCAGCTGAAGACCACCACCCACTGACCTCACTTAATACCACATGAAGCACAAGAATTGCCCAACTAAATCCTGCCCAAATTCCCTACCCCAAAAGTATAATGTTTAGTGTGACAAAAGGGCTATTGTTTTAAGCCACCAAGTTTTGAAATCATTAGATAACTAATTGGATAACACAACTATTAGGTAATTTAAACAGCATAAATAAAGAAATAGGTTTAAAGGTACCAAGTAATTTAAAAAATGTACTCTGAACAAACATACAGAAAACCAGAAATAGACCCATAAATACAAAGAACTGGTGGCTGCCAGCAAAGGGGATGACAGGACAGGCAACATGGGTGAAGGGGAGTGAGAGGTACAGGCTTCCAGTTATGGAATGGATAAGTCAAGGAGATGAAAGGCACAGCATAGGGAATATGGTCGATGGTATTTAATAGCACTGCATGGTGACAGGTGGTAGGTGAGCACAGCATAACATACACACTTGTCAAATTCTATGTTGTACACCCGAAACTAATGTAACATTGTGTCAGCTGTATTTCAATTTAAGAAAATTAAAATAAACTTTAAAAAATGAAAAGTGAGTTCTGTTATCCAAATAGAACACCAGAGATGGATTTCCCATCATACTGTAAACTGAAAACTTCTCTTGATAGAACAATGCTTTCCTTAGCCTTAGTCCCTACTCTCCCCACAAAAGGCCACTTTCTAAAAACATCTCTATGTTCTGACAGACATTTATAATGGCAGTGAGTGATGAGAGTGAAAGCCAATTGATAATCCAAGTCTCCTCATTCCTTATCTCTTTCATGAAGATTAACAGTAAAAGCATAAGTAAGAATTAATAATGGAGAGAGTCCATTTTCCACCCACTAAAACCAAGATGGAATTCTCAACTACTATTTGGTATTAGTTGATTCTGGTGGAAAATGCAAAAATAGTTTTTACTTCTTCGGCACATGATGAAGCCTCCGTCAGTGAAACAGACCTATCTGAAGCAGACCAGGCCTGCACTGCCAGGACTCAGGAAATTGCACGATGCAGGCTGCCACTTAATCCTTCCCATCACCCCTCCCCAACATCCTGGTTTCTTCTCAACCGACAGCTCATATTGAGACTTGTTCACTCCCAGGGTCAAACTAAACGGGGACACTCACAAAGAAGGTATGAAACAAGAGGATGCAACTGCCCTTCTATTGGTGATGCCTGATGCCACTCAACTTCCTTGTCATGATTTGCCTGCATGGTTGGGGGCAGACTGCATTTGCCTTGGCAGAGCTCTAGGACACAGAAAGTACTAGAGTGGAAGTCAACAAACAAATGAGTTTGTATAATGTACAAACTCATATAGGGTTGTCAATTTGTGTAATTCACTTTTTCTAACTGTTCATCCCACGAAATACAACAATTTCAGGAAACCCACAGCCCATGAATCATTATTGAAGAACTGATTTACAATTAGTAAAATTATAAATAAAAAATTATAATACAAATAAATGTGATCAACTGATACCATCTCAAACTTTCTTTTACATTCCCAAATGGATTTTTATGGGTTATAATGTCAGTTAATGTGCTTATAGAATTGGTAAAAAATGGTCACCGCTGACATTTTAAAATCACCCCTCTGCTTTCTCTAATGTATACTGAAGTACTTTTATCTCATACAAAAATGAATTACTGGGGCACCTGGGTGGCTCAGTTGGTTAAGCGTCCAACTCTTGACTTTAGTTCAGGTCATGATCTCATGGTTCGTGGGTTCAAGCCCTCCATCGGGCTCTGCACTGACAGTGCGGAACCTGCTTGAGATGCTCTCTCTCCCTCTCTCTCTGCCTCTCCCTCACTTGTGTGCTCTCTCGCAAAATAAACAAACTTAAAAAAAATGAATTACTAAAGACTAAATAATACTTCACTAAAAATATTTTCAGCTGAAATGATGCACCAAGAATGTTCAGGTTTATACTGTTGTTGCCAACACAATATATGGGATATGAGAGCAACTATATTTTCGTTCTCCCTGAATGATGCCACTGAACAAGAGTATTTGTTAAACCAGACTCTCCAAGGTGGTAAGAAAACTAAGTCTAGATGATGTATTGATTCCTTTCCTCCCTGATGAAAACTAATGTCAAAGGTATTAATTCTAGATCCGGAAGTAAATTCACTTTGGAAAACACACACACACACACACACACACACACACACAATCTCTCATCTATGACCTTTAACACAGAATGGCAAAAATGTGAACTCTATTTGGAAGCAGCACTTAAAATACTGTTTTAAAGGGATTTTTACAAGAGCAGCATATTCTTTGAAAAGAGATTTTGGATCACCTCATTTAGTGATATTCACTTTACACAGGCAAAATTATATTACATTTGAAATTCCAAATAAAAAATTTCAGGAGACAAAATTATATGTGCTTTTACTCCCGCAACTCTGCCCCCCAAATCTAATATTCAGGTGCTTAAATTGCCTTTTCTCAGGTACACTGTAAACGAAGAGAGGAACACAGTGGACACATGTGAGATGAGGTGGGAACACAGCTGTACAGGCACAGAAAGGACTACAGGAGACAAGTGGTCTGCTGAATAATGACCATGCCCTGATCTCCAGAACCTTAGAGTATCTTACCTTTTATGGCAAATGGGATTTAGCAGATGTGGTTAAATGAAGGATGTGAGAGGGGAAAATTATCCTAGATTATCTGGGTGGTCCCAATGTAATCACGAGGATCTATAAGGAGGCAGGAGGATCAGACACAGAGAGAGCAATGTGAAGATGGAAACAGGGACAGAAGGTGTTATGATGAAGGTCCATGAAACACAGAATGCAGGTAGTCTCTAGAAGCTGGATGAGAAAAGGAAATGGATTCTCCTCTAGGTCTCCAGAAGAAACACAGACACCTTGATTTTACCACACTGACACTGATTTTGGACTTCAGACCTCCAGAAACTCAATATAATACATTTGTGTTCTTTCAAGCCACTAAAACTTTGTGGTAATTTGCTACCGTGGCAAAGAAAACTTACAACAACTTACTGTGAGGCATATTAATAGTCTACACAATGGCAGTGGCCATTTCTAGGTGCAGCCATCTGCAGGGTGTGGAAGCACTGGGCCTGGAGAGTTGTCTTCCCATCACCCATTCCCTTCCCTAACGGATGCATGGTGCTCCATGTGCCTCCTCCCCTGCAGCCCAGGTGACTCACAGGAAGCTGACCCCATCCACAGCACCAGGGATTGGAAGCCAATCATGTCCCTACTGGGCCATTCACATTGCTTTAAGGCAATCAGTGCCTTGTTATTGTTCTAGAAGAGGCAAGTAACTAAGTTGTTCCACTCAGACAAAAGGGAAGGGATGGGCTTTTTTTTTTTTTTTTTTTTAATTTGATTCAAGTTAACACACAGTGTAGTATTGGTTTCAGGAGTATAATTTACTGATTCGTCACTTACATACACCCAGTGCTCATCCCAACAAGTGCCCTCCATAATGCCCATCACCCATTTAGCCCAACCCCTCCAGTAACTCTGAGTCTGTTCTCTCTTTAAGAGTCTCTTATGGTTTGTCTCCCTCTCCGTTTTTATCTTTTTTTCCCTTCCCTTCCCTTCCCCTGTGTTCACCTGTTGTGTTTCTCAAATTCCACAGAGGAGTGAAATCATGGTATTTGTCTTTCTCTGACAGACTTATTTCGCTTAGCATTATACCCCCTAGTTCCATCCACATTGTTGCAAATGGCAAGATTCCATTCTTTTTCACTGCCCCGGCAGCAACTTCTTACTAGACATGTCTCCAGAGGCAAGGGAAATAAAAACAAAAATGAACTATGGGATCTCATCAAGAGAAGGGCTTTTTATTTTTGGGTTGTCTCTGAATATGAACAAGGAGGGCAGTGCCCCAGTTGTTGGCAGCCATCTTACAATCTGAGGGGAAGCTGAAGACAAACCTGCCAGAGGGAAAGGGCAGAGGAGGGAAGACTGTAGAGAATCATGGAAAGAGTGTGAGTAAACCATATTCTCTGCCAGCCCTGCCATGAGCTTATTTTATGAAATTAAAATGTTTCTTTTTTTATCTTTAAGACAGTTTGAGTTATGGAGTTTTTTTTTTGTTGTTGTTAGGATGACATAACCATCCGAATTGCTTCAGGAGGCCAGGCTTTTATAACACTAAAAAACCAGATAATAAAAGTAGATGACTCACAAGTGTGAATGGCCACTTAAGGAAAAAAATCAGAATCTTGAAGCAGTGGTTAATCTGCTATTCTTGTTACTTCTCGCCAACCAAATGTATTTTTCAAGAATGAGAAACTTATTTTCAATAAATACAGGTGACGGTTTTCTAAAATTTTAAAACCAGGTAGGAAAAAGTCACAGCCTTTAAATAGACTGCTCTGAATCGACCTAACAACACGAGATGTAACATAAAATTTATCAAGGGTGTGACTGAGTTTCTTATATATGATTTCATACAAATTTTTGTCTACCTGATAAGTTTTAGTTTTTGTCTACCCGATGGGTGAGTAAAGGTCTCTCAACGGTCCAGAACCGTGTTCCCCTGACTGATGGTGAAATCTTGGCTCATTTTTATTTCCTCTTCTGTGAACTTCTGTTTTATCTCCTTTTGTCTGTTTTGAATTGTTTTTGAGTTGAATTGTTTGTCTTCTTGTCAATTTGTAGGCACTCTCTCTATATTAGAGGCATGAACTCTTTTAATAGCTAAGATGTCATGAATACTTTTCACAGTCTGTGTGTGGCTTTACTCTATCTTTGCACATACAAACCTTTTTCACATTTTTTAAATAAGGTGGAACCTCATTTCTTCTATGGCTTGTGGGTCTTGTCTCTACCTAACGTAGTCTACCACTTCCCAAATGTATATGTTCCCCTAGATTTTCTCCCAAATTTATTGCTTTGTTCTTATATTTAGACCTTAAACAATTTAGAAATTAAATCAATCTGACATCTGACTATGTATGTGATACAAATCAAAGTTCAGAGAGAAAGAGAGACAGAGAGAGACTGAGTTCTTTGAGCTCTCAGGGCTATAGATTAGATTCGATAGTCAATGTTATGCAGTCTCATTTCCTAAAAAGAACCTGTGGTTTCTGTCTGGAAGGCTGTGTAATTTTTTTCTTAATCAATGAAAGCCATATGTCTGTTAGGTCTGTGTCTGTTTAGCTAGATCTCTCTGGCACTCGAAGGCCTTTTTAGTCTAAATCATGACTTTTTTTCAGCTCAAGTAAACATTTCATTAGATCAATTATCACTTCTGATTTTTTCTCCTTTTGTCCTCATGAAGTGCAAGGTAGGTCTGGGCCTGTCCTCAGATCTTATTTATTAACTTCTGATTTTCATCTCTTTGAATTTCTCCTCAATATTGTAGGATATTTCTTTGGAAAATCAACTTTGTTCTCAGCAGAGATCATTACAATCGCCAGTTTATCTATTAAATTTTTAAATTAATGAATTTATAGTTTAAATTAATGTTTTTTTAATTTTTTTTTACATTTATTCATTTTTGAGAGACAGAGAGAGATAGAGCACAAGTGGGGGAGGGGCAGAGAGAGAGGGAGACACAGAATCCAAAGCAGGCTCCAGGCTCCCAGCTATCAGCATAGAGCCCGATGCGGGGCTCGAACTCACAAACTGCAAGATCATGATCTGAGCCAAAGTCGGATGCACAACCGACTGAGCCACCCAGGCGCCCCTAAATTAATGGTTTTTTAAAGCTTTCTTTTAAAACTTTCATTAAGTCTTTTGTTGCTTTTACTGGAATTGTATCCCCCTCAGACATCTTTGAAACAAGATTCTCCAGTTCTTCAGTCAGTTCTTATCAATGGGGCCACACGCTCTGGACCTCAGTTTGGTGCTCCTTCATCAAGGTGCTAATAATCACTCAGCTGTGTGCACTCTCCCAGCTCAGGCCTAGGTCACACTTCTGGAAACTCCAGAGTATCAGCAAACCTGCTCTAAGTGGACCTCACTTTCTGCATAAAACCATTACCCTGCTGTGGAGTGGCTGCTCTCAAACTTCCCCACGTGGTCCTGCTCTACCTGGTGCAAAGTCTCTAAGTAACTCAGCCTTCTGGGAAAGTAACTCAGCCATTTGTGCAGGACTAAGGCTGCAAAAGAGAGTAGGTACACTACAGGCCCCATATAGAAAGAGGTCTTCACTAAAGGCCTCGGGGAGAGACAGATTTCTCTTCCAGGGATTCTATCAGGGCTTAACAAGCACTCTGAAATCCTGAGATCGTCTTCCACTCCTTCCCCTGAGATCCCAGAGGGCATTTGGCAGTCTCATGGGTCCTCTCCATGGCCCACCTGTGTGATTCCTGAGGGTTTTCCTGTTGTTGGGGACTGGGGAAGCCAACACAGGCCCCTGGTCTTATGCTCCAAGGTCACTGGTACTTGAGCAAAAGAGGGAAAATGAGAGAGCCAGGAGTGTGCACACAACAGCCATCTCTCAGAATGTCTCCTTGGCCCCCAAGGTTGCCTTGTCATGGCAGTGTCAACAGAGCACTGAGAGTGCGGCCTCAGAGCTTCCCCTGACACCTCAGCAACACAGACAAAGCCACCAATAAACCAGTCCCCATAACCAACATCCCTTAAGAACCAAGAACCCTAATAACCAATTACTTTGGCATGTGTTAGTGTATTCTTACCTAAGTAAAAGAAGATGATGAATGGCATACCTGTATGATTTTGGGCAACACATCAACTCCATTTTTAGTGTTTTGTGTTGTAGTTAAATACTTTTTTTCCAAAAAGAAAGTGACAATCCACTTAATAAAAACAACGCGAGCTGCCATGTATGGAATTTTTGTACTGTAAATGTTTTCATTGTCTCGAGTTGTAGTAATGTACACTGGCTTTGGTCTCATATGGGGGATGTCTGGAAGAAAAAAGAGCACATATCAGGTTAGTGAATGTAACCCCCACAGAAGATTCAATTTAACCAAGCAGATAAATATCTGTCTGTTTGAACTGCGACTAAAAAGAACCAGAAATTATTAGAAATGACATCTTTTGGTAGGCTTGTTTCTGATTCTGCCTTGCAACCTGACCAAGATGGGATGGTGGGTACTGCTGTTGCGTGCTTGTTACAACTGTGGTATATAGCTGTGGAAGTACTAAGCTAACAACTCTTTTTAACAAATTTGAGAAATGACAGATTATAAGCCTAAAAATATTTTCACATATATTACAGTTTATTTTATCTTTATTTTATGACAAAATAATTTAATCTTATTTTATGACAAAAAATAAAAGCACATATACACATTTTTTCATCATTTTAGGTATTTTAACATCCAATACTACACTAACCATAATCCACTGGACTTTTAGTCTTATATCCTTTTCCCTTTAGATGAATCCAAAGAATAAAATCAATACAATCTACTTTATGTTAGAAAGAATTCATCTTTGAGGTATCAGACAAATTAATAAGAGGTCCATTCCTCAATCTTTAAATTCCATAATCAATACAAAAAATTACATGGTGTTGGGTTTGAGATACTACTTGCTGTATGTCCAATTCTCATCCTAACTTGTATCCACTTGGAGAAACCTGCATGAAGCAGTTCTCAACAAATAACTTTTAATTTTAGCACATTAATAATGTTTTCTACATGAATATAGACTATAAAATCAGAAACAAATTCTGAAAAAATATACCCACATATAGTTAACAAAATACACATCTCAGTACCTCTAAAGTTTAGTACTTCTACATCTTTCAAAATGCACCAAGTTTTTGCTATTTTTCCCTTCTCCAAGCATGCATGTGTGTTTGTGTGTGCGTATGTGTAAATAAACACCCTAAGACAACTGAATTAGTAGTCCACATTCTCCAGATGGATTAACGTCTGTCGTGATCTTCCCCTTCCAAAATTGTTCCTGATCCCGGGTGCCTGGGTGGCTCAACTGGTTAAGCACCCGACTTCAGGAAAGGTTATGATATCAAGTTCATAGGTTCAAGCCCTGCATTGGGCTCTGCACTCACAGTGTAGAGCCTGCTTGGGATTTGCTCTTTCCCCTCTCTGCCCCTCCCCCACTCGTGCTGTTTTTTTTCTCTCAAAATTAAATAAACAAAAATAAGCAAAATTGTTCTTGATTATTCATCTTAACTAATTTCAACTGCTTTAAAACAATAGGGAGAGAAAAATTTGCCCCCCACTGCCACCAATCTAAGGGTGCTTCTGTCCTATGAGCCCTCATTTCTTTTCCTTTTTAAAAATTTTTTAACATTTATTTTAGAGAGAGACAGACAGAGTGCAAGAGGGGGAGGAGCAGAGAGAGAGAGGGAGACCCAGAATCCGAAGCAGGCTCCAGGCTCTGAGCTGTCAGCACAGAGCCCGATGCGGAGCTTGAACCTACAAACTGTGAGATCATGACCTGAGCCCAACTCAGATGCTTAACCGACTGAGCCACCCAGGTGCCCCATGCCCTCCTTTTTTATAGAAGAAAAACTTTATCAGCTAAGTTAGAAACTCCCTTATGTTTTCTTCCTTTCTGGAGCTTACTGTCCCTGGGGTGCCTAACTGCCCTAGCATCGGTCCCGCCATAAGCTATAAGCAGCACCTGCTGGATGGAAGATCCAGTATAAAAGGGCTTACTGTGGGCAGCTGTGTAGCCTGGGCTGGCTTGCCTAGCCACTGAGCAAGGTCTGGGGTCTCACCATACCCCGCCACTCCTAAGACAAGACCTAAGGGAATGCAAGTTTTTTTTTTAACATTAAAAGTTTTCAATATAATTACAACCAAAAACCCATAACACATGTCAAATTATTCTGAGTACAGGAGCCATAGTCCCCTTTATTGCTGTGAGATGAGGTACCTCTTGAAGCTTGTACAAATAGGTAAAATCATTTACTAGGAAACTTTAAGCCTCTTGCAATAAAGTTACCATTAAATATAAGAATAAAATGGCTATTTTACTTAAAAATAATCAAAGGCCACTTTGAAAGAGACTGGACAGCTTCCCTGTGGACATCCTCTAGATACAACCCAATGTACTTACCAAGTACAGGTTTGTAGATGTTTGTTAACTTAGTAAATGTTGGAAATAAATGAGGAAGATAATATTTTCGAAACAATGTAAAAAGAAATGTAAAACCAGTATCTTGATTCTCCTTATTCTTCCACTCCAAGCTTGCAGCCTTTGGATAATATGTGGAAAAGAACAGATGTACATTTACATTTCAACTTAATGTATACTAAACTGAAATGCTGTTATCTTATTAAAATTCCTGTTCTAAACACACAAAAAATATTTTGACAAATAATGTTGACAATCATGTAATGAAATTGTATCTTAAAACTCAAACGACAAGAATAAAAGCTTCAAAGAAAAGACCTATGGGAATGCAAGTTTTTTTTTTTTAACATTAAAAGTTTTCAATATAATTACAACCAAAACCCATGACCAAAATGGTAACTACGTGAAACACGGTTTTACTGAGTATTAAAAAAAAAATCACACAATGATATCATATCTTTTTAAACTGGCTCTACTACATCATGCCCTTATTTTTCCCCACATGTTCTCTATAAGGATTTAATATTCTTTCTGCCCTTAAACATTTAGTCAGATGTAATCTGGTGGGTTTTTTTTTTTTAACACAAAAAAGGCCATTTATAATAAACAGGAATTTTTTAAAATTTTGTTTAATGTTTATTCACTTGTTGAGAGATGGAGACACAGCGTGAGTGGGGGAGGGGCAGAGGGGGTGGAGGAGACAGAATCAGAAGCAGGCTTCAGGCTCTGAGCTGTCAGCACAAAACCCGATGCGGGGCTTGAACCCATGAACTACAAGATCATGACTTGAGCCGAAGTCAGATGCTTAACCAACTGAGCCACCCAGGCACGCCTATAATAAACAGGAAATAAAGAAATAACCCCTTGCAAGGATTTCATGCAAAATCAGTATCATTAAAAGGCAAAGCTATGGAAACTTGTAAAGTGCATTCTCCTTATTAAAAGCACTCCACAGGCTAAGATAAGCCAGGCCTGCCAGTCCACCTGTACCTGTTACTAGTTCTTAGTACTTGTTAGAACACAGAGTGCTCTAAAGCAGAGCTTCCCAACTTCCTTCATGATGCAGCCCACTTAGAAAATGAAAATACTTTGTGCAGCATCTGAGGTAAAGGGATGCGGAACTTTGAATGCCCCTGGGGCAGAGGGGCTCAGTGTCTGTGACCTGTCAGAAGTTCTAATACACAGAGTGTATCAGAAGTTCTCTGGGGTGAGCCAGTGGAGAAAAGGGAGAGAAAAAGAGAGGGATGGACATGAACATACAACTCTGCACATGATTTATGCACAATCTGCATAAAAACCACCACCTTATATCACCGGCATCCTTCCTCCACTGGGATTCTGGGGATTGTGTGACTTATCTGAGGTCACACAGCTCATTAGTGACATATCTAGAATGAGACCCAAGTACACCAACACATCCAAGTTCTCAATACTTCATGCTGATCTCCTGGGACAGATGGAATGCCCTACCACTTCTGAACAGGTGGTTTGAGTTGCAGGTGGAAATGCAGAGTTTCCAGAAGACAACAGAATACGCCAGCCTGGTCTTAGGATTTTGGAGTCCTTGTGTTTCTGGTGCTGGCTAAAGGAAATGGGAGAGGAGAGTACACAAGATTGCCCAACAGGACAGAGTAGTCAGAAAGGGAGCCAAGGAATGAATCTTGAGAAACAGCAGAGAGAGACAGTCCCCAAAGAAAAGTGGCAAGAAATAAAAGAAGGGGAGGAGGAAAGCAGGAAGAAAACATGAAAGGAGAGAATATCACGAAGAAGGGGCAGTCACCGTCAAATCACCTGAAAGATGATTTGAGTAGGGCAAAAACTAAAGTGTCCTTCCTCTAGACTTGAACACTAGACCTCCTTCACGATCTTGGGCCTCCGTCTTAGCAGGGACAGGGCAGAGGCAGGTAGCAGTGAGTGTCAGGTGAGGAAGTGGATTTAGCAGAGATTATGACATCAACAAACTTGGTTGTGGAGGACACAGAGATTGGACAGAGTTCCCAGGAAGAACTCAGGGATGACCAGTGTTTGCCAAAAGAAAGGAATCCAGTAGTTTTGAACCATATCAATGCTTAGAAATGTAGACCAAGAGAAAGAGATCGCCCACTGAAATCATAAACTAATGATATTATCTCTGTTTTCAGTTGGTAAACATCAGAGAAAGGAGCCTGTGACATCAAGCAGACCTGTGCTGACAGCACAAAGAAACACCTCTATGTGCTCCCACCCAAATTTTCCTGCCTGCTCTGCCTATTATTTCCAGATCCGCCTGTTTAGCCTCTGGGCCTGCCTCCTCCTCCATCCACCTTGCTAGCCTAGGGATCAGCGTTCAGGAAGGGGCAAAGAGGCAAAAATAGATTAATACATTATGAGAAAACAGAAAATATATATGGCTCTCTGCCCCCACTTCCTGGCATAGAGCCCCTAAAACTCTTGTCATGTCCTAAGAAGTAAGAGCACTGGGAGCATCTTTTGTTCTAGTAAAACAACTCTGGGTGGGCTCCTGGATGGCTCCTGAGTGAGGGCTGGTCACCAGAAAGACCACACTGTGATTAGAACTTGGAATTTTCAGCACCCCCACCCCAACCCTTCCATTTCTCCAGAGGGGAGAGGGGATAGAAATGGAGCATGTCTATGTAAGGAAGCCTCCAGAAAAATCCCAATGGCAAGGGTTTCAGGGAGCTTCCAGGTAAGTCAACATATCCATGTACTGAGAGGGTAATGAAACCCACCTCCACATGAACAGACATTCCTGTGCTTGGGACCCTTCCAGGCTGTGCCCTTTGTATCTCTTCATCTGGCTGCTCATCTGTATCCTTTATCACATACTTTAATAAAGTGGTAAATGGAAACAAAGGTTTCCCGGAGTTCTGTGAGCTACTCTAGCAAATCAGTTGAACCTGAAAAGGAGTTGTGGGAACCTTTGATTTGTAGCCAAGTTGTATAGAAGCAGTGGGTAACCTGGGGCCTACCACTAGTAACTGGCACCTGACTGTGACAGAACCATCTCATGGGACTGAGCCCTTCTCCTGCGGGATCTAATGCCATCTCCAAGCAGACAGCCTCAAAGCAGAAATAAACTGTAGGACATCCAGCTGGTGTGGCGGAGTTGTCTGATGGGGGAAAGCACTCACACGTTTGGTAACCACAAGTGTCAGAAGTGAAGTGTTCTGTGTGAATGTGGTAATGATCTAAAAGTAGGTGGAGAACTGAATTCTTCCCGTGACATACACACTTACACAAAATAGTATATATGCCAGGTCTCTGCTGATGTGACCCGGTACATACTCTATTTTTAGTATCATATAAAATCACCTCAAAGTAAAAAGCAAAGGTACAAATGCTTTCTCTTTCCCACAGAGAGTAAGACCATTACTGAATTATCCCATGATTTTTCTCTTACCTGAATAACCATATATTTCAATAGTATTTGAAGAAAAAAGCATGTTTGGTCCTCAGCAATCTTTTCCCCCGATATGGCTGGTAGGAGTGGAGTGATTTCTTCTGGATATACCTTTGCTGCAGAGTGGGAAAAAAAGCAGGGCTCTTTCACCAAAGTTAAAGAGCGTTTTGTTTCTGTTTTTAAATGGTCTCTATTAACATACATCTATCCCTCCACTGGAACTGCTCACACTATACTCCAAGCCAGTGTACATGAAGGGCTTAGAAATATGGTACAAATGCTCATGAAACCACCTCTCCCACTAACCCATTCTTTTCTCTTTCAAATTCTGCTTTGGTCAGCCTAAGATCAAGTACCTGTCATTGGGCAATAAAGTAACATGCATTAATAAAGCAATGGCCCTAACTGGCAAGTTCTTGAAAACTCACAAGACACAAATGGCTGCTATTAATACTCCCAGAAGGCCACTATTGTCCTTCCATGAATGCTGCATGAAATACACAGCTGGCAAAAAAGAGCCTGGGTGAGCAGATGAATGTCCGCTCATGAAACAATCTGAGGAGGACAATAGACAGTAGTTTTGGATGGCGGATTTAAATCTCATTAACAGCCACAAAAACACTCCAGACATACCACGTGTCTCTACTTCCTGCTATTGCCAACATCTGTCCCCTCCCTTCCATTCTTGTTTCCACCACTTCAGGAAATTTCTCCTGTCATCATTTCATATAAAATAGGCTCCGATTCTTTCAATTCTAATGTCTTTAAGACTTTACTATGAATGTAAGCAGAAAATAACTCCTCCTCTGAACCATCTGTGAAATAAAGATTTCTATGTAGGATAATGACAAACCAAGGAATTCCTCAATGTAACTTCAAGAGTCATTCCAGCCTGTAAGACCTGCTAAAGTTACTCACCATCAGCTCCACTAGGGCTAGGACTGATGAGTGTCTCCAGCGTACAGGGCCCTCTGGATGACATGATTGCTGGGAAACCAGGCACAAGGCAAGCAAAAATCAGCACCTGCTCTTCTGCACAGTTTGTCTGAAGTGCTTGAAGCCACAGAAGAAACAGCCTGATCCCTTCACATCTTATCTAAAAGCAGAATTAAAGGCAACAAAATTAAACACCCAAATGTATATGCAGAGATGCACTGCAATGCAGAATCAGTTCTGAGAAAGAAAAACCAGAAGTTAAAGGTACTGTCGAAATACGGCACCAAGTTCTTCTTAGTGACAAGCAGGCATGCTGCAATGAACACAAGGGTTAAGAGTGTGGGTTATGGAGCCACAGGGCCTGGGTTCAAATTCAGGCTCTGCTACTTTAGCTTAGCTGTGACCAGTGGAGGACTGCTTAACTTCTCTATGCATTAGTCTCCCCCTCTGTAAAATAGGGTAATAGAATTTACCACAAAGTACTGGTATAGGGTTAAGAGAGTTAAAACAGTGCCCATATCATCAATTGGTTACCCATGAAAACAATGCAAAGATAATCTTCCTCCAAGTTTACACTATGTTTTGAATAGAGTTTTTGTCATGTCACTACAATATGTACATGTATAATGTAATGTTCTTGAAAATCTGAACACTTAGAGCTAAACAAGACCTTGAAGACCTGGCTCAATGGGATTGGGCAGCTCTCCAGCTTCCCTGCCTTATGTCCCTACTCCATTCTCTCTACCACCTTCATGTGCTCTGAAGAGATGAAAAAAATGTCAGATGAAGCTGCAAGATGCAGTGAGCTCCAAATGCAGGCAACTGAGGGACTGCCTGATCTCCTTTCAACTATACCAAGGTAGTGCAGATTCTTCCAGAGCAAGTGTTTAAGTCAAACATGAGGCTCTACAGGAAAGAGGAAAGAAGTGAAGTGAAGTGAAGTGAAGTGAAGTGAAAAGAAAAAAAGAAAAAAAAGCAAGTTTGGCTGACTCCCCACAGAAGTAAAATACACCGAGACAGACACCCTGTCTGGAGACAGTTCTACACATCAACAGTAGATTCCAGGGCACACTTTCAGACATGCCTGTGGACACACCACTGCTGTGCACAAACCTGCATGACCACTCACACCTGTCCACTTCTCCCCAAGCAGGCAATATAAGTGGGGACATTGCTGAACAAATAACAGACAAAACATGACATGGCTCTACGCGTATCTAACCAAATTGCAGAAAATTTAACAGGAGGAAAATTACAAAATTCTATCATGTCTCCAATTTTTTAGGATAACTGTATTTAAGTTAACAAAATATAAATAAGGCCAATAATAAACATAAAGTCACAACCTGATTAGGTTTTAACTATAAGACTATTAATTAAAACAGGAATAAAATGTGGAATCTGTTGTGAAGCTAGGAATAGCTTAACCCCTTTTTTTCAACACATAAGAGAAGTAACACACCAAATTTAAGTAGCTATGAGTGTTTAAGCTGGTATAAAACAAAAAATATACAGACTTATTATTTTTTAGTTGTCTTCAATGTTTATTTAATATAATTTATTGTCAAACTGACTAACATACAGTGTGTATAGTATGCTCTTGGTGTGGGGAGAAGATTCCCATGGTTCATCGCTTACATACAACACCCAGTGCTCATCCCAACAAGTGCCCTCCTCAGTGCCCATCATCCATTTTCTCCTCTCCTCCAGCCCCCATCAACCCTCATTTTGTTCTCTGTATTTAAGAGTCTCTTATGGTTTGTCTCCCTCCCTCTCCATAACTCATAATCCTCCCCCATGGTCTTCTGTTAAGTTTCTCAAGATCCACATATGAGTGAAAACATATGATGCCTGTCTTTCTCTGACTGACTTATTTCACTTAGCATAATACCCTCCAGTTCCAACCATGTTGCTGCAAATGGCATGATTTCATTCTTTCTCATTGCTAAGTAGTATCCCATTTAATATGAACTTATTAAAGTCATACACATAACTCAATTAGCTATAAGTGAATCACCTTCCATAAAGTATATATCCCCAGCTGGCTTCTTTTGTCATTTATGTTTTAGGGTCATCTTATCTAGCATCAAATGGTATTATATATCATTATAAAAGGTATGTTTGTTTTAAAATAAGCCAATGTTAACCTAAAGTTATGCTGCAAACAAATATTCAAGAGTAAGGCTCTGCTGCTCTTTTCTCCCAAAATGGCTCTCAAAACCAGCAAAAGTAATTCAGAGACAACTATAATTTTAACAAGATTGCTGGGGTGAACGGAATCTAGCATGTTAGCTCGGAGGCTTGGAGAGGAACCCTTCCCTTTCCTGAGGATAAAACTGGAGCAGCAAGCGCCTTGCTGACGGTTACCTGACTGTACGCAGTACAATCAAAATTAGAACTCCAAATTCCAAACTCTGAATCCTAAGCCCTTCTCCCCAAATAATATTTAAAATGTATATCACAATAAGTTTTGATGTAATAACAAAAACTCCAACTAATAAACTCCATATTAGTTTTAATTAAAAATAAAGAGTAAGTCAAGTGGTTTTTAAAGATCTTTTTTCTCTACAAACGGCCTCATTTTGTCACTTTATGGCACTAGTAAATTTAAGAATGTTGCAAAATGACATTGCACATTCATCTAAAATAAATACCTTAATAGAATTTCCAGTGTGTAGAAGCTTCTTTAAAGTTGAGCCTGAAAGTTTAAAACACTGAGTTAGAAAGAGTATATAAATTTATACCATACACCCAAAAAAAACTCAGAGTGGATTAAGATGTATTTTTAAAAGGTCAGTTTTAGAAAGAAATATTATACTTATGGCAAAAGAAAAGACATTTTTTCATTATACTTTTCATTATACATCATACATTTCACATCATACATTATACATCATACATTATACATCATACATCATACATTTCATTATACTTATGACAAAAGAAAAGACATTTTTTTTAAAAGAAAAGAAAATCAATGTCACAGAAGGAGAGATATCTTTAAGATAAAATTGCTTTAAGTGTGAAACTCTTCGAAACTCTTAAAATAGTCAAAATGACTGATATTAAGTAACACATATACCCACAGTAGATTTAGTGCAAACATCTCATCATGAATAAAATAAATGATTCTTTTCTAATCTCCAAAGGTAAAAATAATATAAAACTACTGCTTATAAAACATTTTACAAGAATATTTTGCAAATATTCAAGATAGCATGTTTCCTTGCAGTGACAATCACGTTTATATGTTCGGGCCATCAATAAATCCTCTAGCAGAGCTCTTTAGTCACTGTCAAGGAGGAGGAATCAACGTTTACTCAGAACTACACCATTCAACTGCAAAAACTTCAGTGCTGCTGCCCACTTTAATTAGAAAAGTCTCTCTTACAAGGATGGAAACATATTATTCTATAACATGTTCATGTCTTAGTATGGAGTTGGCTTGGCAACCCACCTAAATATCATATGTAGGCTCTCATCTTAACCTTAAAGAAGGAAGTAATCTTTAAAAATAAAAAAATGTATTGGAAGTCAGGCAAGAGAACCTTTTCTTCTAAAATTTTGGGGAAAAAAATGACTTCAATCTCCTGATGATAAGTTTTATGCAATAATTAAAGCTCACACATCAAATCAAATTTAGTCCAATAATGTATTTCAAGAGATGTTCCACTAAGAAATAGAGCCAGTCTCAACAAATTTCTACAGGTCATATTTAAGTGGATAGATACAACATGTTAGTTAAATGCACACAATTTTGTAACTGCTGTTGCTATTTATAACACTTAACACTAAGATTCAGTGGAAAGTCACCATTGTTATGACTATGTTACAACACTAAGTCACCAACAACACTAAATCACCAACGGTTGTGAATGAGTAACAGAAGTTAAAGTGCCCTCCTCCCTGAACTTCTGTCACCAAACCATATCCAGTATTTTTTTTGGTCTAGAGCCAGCATTTATTGAGCTAATCTCTCTCACAACTAAGGTTCAAGTGTCTGCTCTCATGGGACTATTTTATCCCACACCTCTCCTTAACCTGGGGCCTTGTCCCTTGCCTCCATGTTCACCCATTCTTGGACAAAGGTTGGTCTGCCTCAGTTTAATATTGACTCCAGTATGCCCATGAGGACCTCACGTGGTTGGCAGGGCCAACAGACACTCCACTCCCCAAAAGACTCGAGATAAAGTCCGCTCACACAGCTCTCCTCCTGGACATCTGGCAAATCTATCATTTTGCAACACATTCTTGGAACACTTTCTCCTGGTTATTGTGCGTGACCACTGGGGCTTATCAGCCCCTCCCCTACTTTGAATGGGTCTACAGTTTTATTTTTAATGTTTGGCCTACCCATAGTTGCCCATATCCACTGTTCTCTACAATGGAAAGAAGAAAAATACTTATAAATAGGACAGACTTTACAAAGAGACATACAGAATGTCTTGACCCATATCGGCCAACAGTCCCTGACTTTTTTTTTTTTTTTCGAAATTAACCTGGTAATTTGTTAGAGCAGCAATAGAAAACACATACATGTTTGATGTTTCCATCTTGCAAGAAACTCTTGTACATGTGAAGTAGTATAGCTTGGCATTTACGAGCCAGATTCAGAAGTCAGATTGTTAGGGTTCAAATCTAGGTTCTGCATTTACTGTATAACCTGAGTCAGTTACTTAATCTCCCTATGCCTGAGTTTTCTCATCTGTGAAATGGGATAATAACAGTGCCTACCATGGGGAATTATTAATGAAGTTTAAATGAGTTAACATATATAAATGCTTAGAACAGTGCCTGGTATATGAAAAACACATTTTTCCCCACAAGATAAGGCATCAGCTATTCTCTAAGAAACTCTTTTTAAATAAGAACAGCATTAGAAAGAAAACTTGTGCAGTAGGAGCACACAGAATAGTGTTTCAACATGAAAACTGACCGGAGAGCCTTGCCTGGCTACTTTAGGCATTTCCTAAGGTCCAAAGTTCACAAAGATACTGCTACTCTAACTACCATTATGTAATCTTTTTCATTTTAATTTCAAAAAGTTTCTCTCTCTATATCACATCTGTTTGGAATTTTAAATACCCCATCCAAACTATAATTATACCCACTCCCAAATTTTAGGTGCCTCTTCAACCCTACTGATTGCCACTATATTGATTCATGTGAGGGAAGAGTGAATAAATGAGTAAATAAAATCTAATTAGTTGGACTGATTCTATGAACTTCTAACTTCTACTGGCTTTTATTATATTTTATAAACATCCTTTTAATGTAAGTCTTATTGCTTTTAAGGAGGGCTGGGTCTAGGACAAGAAGAGTGAGGGGTCTGCACAAGAAAACTCAATAATAAAAAAAAATAATATTTTAATACAATAGTTTCTAAAAATAAAAATTAGTGCCAAACAACCCATGATGAACATTATTAAGGTTTTAAATAAGTATCAGTGTTCAGCTGAGTCATACTGGAGCCTAACATAAAAGGAAAACTGTGTACCACTATAGATATGTTTTCATATATTTTTAATGGTTAATTTTTTCCCAGAACATTTAAGCATTGAAAAAACATTGAAAAACAAAAAACTCAATATTGAACAATCGAAAATTATTAAAACTCACATTAGCTTAAGTTTTGTTTATAACACAGAATGTATTACAATTTTACTCTCCTGGCTTTAATGAAACAAATTCATCAAGATTTTCAAAATCTTCTTTGCCTATGTCATTTTCAATTGTGAGAACTGCCTTGCTTGACGATTTCTCTTGATGAAGTGGCAATCTTTTAGACACCTTTTAAGGTCACTAGTTCATAAAGATAGTTCTAATATAACTTTAACATTATAAAACTGATTCTTGTGTGGTCTTTATTTTTAAAAAACTCCCTCTGTATATCATGCCTCAAACCAATTAATAAGCAAAGACAGTATACCACCAGGAAGGGTACAAGAACACAGAGAAACACCCTTTAGGGTGCTGATGGTGTGTAAGCCATGCTGCCAGCTGCCAGTGGAGCAGGAACACAGAACTTTCTGGCACTATAATATTTACAATAAGCACAAAGGAACGCAGTCCACTGGAGGAATTTGAAATTAATCTCAAAAGGAATCAGGGAACTAAATATGAAACATATAAAGTATAGAATTTCTAGAAGAAAACATAGAAGATCTTTGTGATCTTGGGTTAGGCAAAGATTCCTTAGACAGGACACCAAAATCACAATCCATAATAGAAAAACCAATAAACTGGAATTTATCAAAATTAGAAACTTTGAATCTTTGAAGGACACAAGTAAAGCAATGAAAAGACAAGTCAGAGATAGGGAGAGAATATTTCCAAGTCACATATCAGGTAAAGCACATAAATCCAGAATACATAAAGAACTTTTAAAATTCAATATTAAGAAGACAAACTAAATTAAAAAAAAATTTTTTTAATGTTTATTTATTTTTGAGAGAGAGAGAGAGAGAGACAGAATGTGAGCAGGGAAGGGGCAGAGAGAGAGAGGGAGACACAGAATCTGAAGCAGCCTCCAGGCTCTGAGCTGTCAGCCCAGAGCCCAACGCAGGGCTTGAACCCATAAACTACGAGAGATCACGACCTGTGCCGAAGCGGGATGCCGACCAACTAAGCCACTCAGGCGCCCCAAACTAAATTTTTTTTAAAAAGTGGTCAATCAATTCATACGTACACTTTGCCAAAGACATACAGATGGCAAATAGCAGAGGAAAAATGTTCAAAGTCATTTGTCATTAGAGAAATGAAAATTAAAACCACAGCAAGGTAGTACTACCACTGAAATAAAAAGACTGATGATACTAAGTGTTGATAGGAACGTAAAGTAATTGGAACTCTCATACTACTGGTGGGAATGTCAACCACTCTGGGAAGCAGTCTGTCAATTAAACATATAATTTTATATGATTCAGCCATTCCATTCTCAAGAGACAGGAAAGTACATGTCTACATTAGAGACTTGTACACAAATGTTTACAGTAGTTCTACTTGTATGCAAATACTAGAAACAGCCCAAATGCCCATCAACAGGTGAACAGATAAACTATAGTATAACTATACAATGAAATACTATACTACTCAGAAATGAACTATTAAGATATACATCAACACAGATGAATCTCAAAATAATTTTATTGAATGAAAGAAGCCAAAGGAGAGTATATACTGCATGATTCTATTTCTATGAGACTCTAGAAAATCAAACTAATCCATAATGATAAAAAGCAGATCAGTGGTTACCTGGGAACTTGGCAGGGGGGTGGGAAAAAGGCATGAGGAAACCATTGGGAATGATGGCTATGTTCATGATCTTGACTGTTGTAATGATTTCATAGGTGTACACCTATGTCAAAACTTATCAAAATTAACATCTTCTATACATAGAGTTTATTATCATCAATTATACTCCCAAAAAAGACCAGCTTTGTAAAAAAGGAAAAAACAGAGCAGGTGGCTTGGGAGTGACTAAATGAAAAATTGGGAGGACACAGGTTTTTCTCAGATACAAATCTGCATAATGACAAGTGTCCAGAAGATAAAGTCAGGAAGCCACAAAGGGTGAGGGGGTCAAGGAGCTGATGGGTAAATAGCTAAGCCATTAAAAAAAAAAAAAAGGCAAGTAAGCAGGAGATCAGAAGACATGGTGGCAATGAGGAGGGACAAGGTACAGTTGAGGAAAGAGAGGTTTCCACAGAGGGGGCAGTGGATGAGGTCTAGAATGGGTCTTGGAGAAAAGAAAGACCACGATCTCACCCCCACAGCTCTGAGGGAGACAGAGAAGCCTGAGAGAAAAGCCAGGTATTAGATAGCTGAGGAGGTGAAACAATGAGGCTGAGACTCTAGGGCTGTGGATTAACCCAAGAGGATTTCCAGAGGGCCATGTCCAAAGTGGGAAGGAGAGCACCTTCTTGGTGCTTCTTGGTGGGAAGACACCAAGTGGGCTGAGGGGGCATGAGGCTCAGCCATCCCCTGATGGACATGGAGGCATGCAAGGTCCCTGTAGCTCAGCCTGGCTGCAATGCACCTCTGAGGAAGTCCTAGTGTAAAGTGCATGGGAGACCCTGTTCCGTAGGGAAGAGGCAGCTGTGGTGTGGCCTATGATGGACCCAGGGAGGGTTGTCAGACTCAGCGTCCGGAGGAGTAGTTAGAGCCCAGTGAGCTGTAGAAACTTTGAGAAATAAGGCTGCTCAGAGGTTGTGTTCACATCCTAAGCACTGTCAGACCACTGTGAAGCCCAAGGCATAAAGCCAGGGGGATACTCTTAAAAAGTCACAAGCAAATCTGCAGTTTTTATGACCAATGCAAATCTGCATTGGTTTTTATATTATATATAAGAAGAACCTAGTTAAGCAAACTAGATTAATAATCACTCATTTATAAAAAACACATATGAGGTACTATGTGAATTTTCCATTAATTGAACCTACTCTTTTAAGCCCAAGAGCTATTTATTTGGAGAATTTTTTATATAAAACATCTCTAGTAAAAAATATTTCTTCCCACCCCTCCACAAACTTTTACTGCATACAGGCATAGCACTGTACACTGAATGGGACAGGATTTGCTTTCTAGAGGCTCATGAACTGTAAACCCTCTTAAAGGAAACACACATATAACTTCAGTCCTATACTAATGATGCTTGGGCACATGAAAAGGGGCCACAGCCTGCCCCTGCACCAGATATCCTTGGTTTACTATTGTGCCATTCTTGGTCATCTCCTCACATCCTGTGACCTCTCATTATCACACAGAGATAAGGCTTCGAGTGGCCACCCTTGTCCATCGTGATTAACTGAACTAAAATGGAGGGACTGTGGGAGAGGGGATGGGCTAAATGGGTAAGAGGCATTAAGGAATCTACTCCTGAAAGCATTGTTTCACTATATGCTAACTAATTTGGATATAAATTTTAAAAAATAAAAAAATTAAATTAAAAAAATTAAAAATAAATATTACTAGGAAAAAAAACAAAATAAAATGACTTCAGGAAAATTTTCCCATTTGTAATCAGTAGTGGAAATTTATAAACAGTTAATAGCAGGTTAGCATATACCATAGTTCATGAATCATGGGATTCGAGCTCTGTGTCGGGCTCTGTGCTAAGTGTCGAGCCTGCTTGAGATTCTCTCTCCCTCTCTCTTACCTTCCCTCTGCCCCCTCTCTCCTGCTCTCTCTAATAAAAATAAATAAATAAAATAAAACTTAAAAACAATTTTGAGAGAAATGAAATGTCTCTCTTCACTATAGACAAAACAAAATGGCATGATAGGAAACTGACTTCAAACAATGTGTCAGGTGGTATTTCAAATTAATTTCTTCCTTCCCAGGATAAAACCTGGCTATCCGGTAGGTCTGAGAACTTTTCAGGCTTGCAGAATGTAGGAGTTGCTCTTATTTTAGGTTTCTATACTTGGTGACACTATTTGTAGTGTGGGGCAGGAAACATACTGAATCAGTGGTGTGCAAACCCAGCTTTAAGATCCTAACCCAGTATTTCAGAGAACCTTGGCCACTACCAACCACAGTAACATTTTATTACAAAGTTTATACAGTAGTGTTCTTCATATTAGTAAGAAATACTAGATATCTAGAATGTAAAAGATCTAAAATAAGAACTATTAGATACCTAGAATGTCTGGCACTGACTAGTGAAAAGCTTCCTCTCCTTGACTCAAGAGGTTTTGCAGAAGTCAAGAAGATACCAATGCTATGGAAATATTTAAGACACGTTCCTTTCCTCTGAAATCTGGTGTTTCCTTAATATTTACTTAGTTTTTACAACTAACTTCGTCAAGACCTTCAGTGACAAATGATAACCGTTTTAACAAATCCGAATAAACTGAAAAGAATGCAAGAGAGTGAGGTATGTCAAAAAATGTGTAAAGTTACAAATCCACAATCCCTTATTGGCAATTTCAAAATCCAGAAAGCTATGAAAACTAACCCTTTTTGTGTGCAATTCACTAGTGGACAGGACCTGACTTGAATCTGAATTCATCTGGTGGCAACTCCTGACTAACCTGACTGAGGCTCTTTTGGATTTAGTTATGCCACTGTTGCTGAATATTCATATCTTAGGCTACAGAAATAAGAATCCTCTTGGTTACAGGGCGGTGCCCAGTCCCTGGGGTGTTACCTATAGACATCAACATTGTGTTAGTGTCTGTCATACATCAGTACAGGATGATTTTATATGCAAATGCCCATATTTCAGCATTCTGAAATATAACTCATTCTATACACTAGATAAACTAGCTTATTCTACATACTAACGAGGTAAACAACACCTGCTCTTATGCTGGTTCAAAAGGACTATTCCTCTGCAATCCCAGTCCAAGAGTCACTGTTCATGGTCAGATGCTATTAAACTGGGTAAAAAGCTACTTGTACCCACAATTTTAACCAGTCCATGTGGTAACAGCAGCCAGAATTAAGGTAACATCACACCACCCATGAGGCGCATAAAGGTGCACAACACACATGGCAAATGAATTTCTACACCTAGTTCTAGTAAGCTCATTCAGGCTGAGGAGGGGCTATTAATCTCCAGACATTTTAAAGTACTATCTGAAGAAAACAAGTGTGGTTTTCCTATAAGATACGAACAAAATGGAAGGATTATATCTAGCACAGATAAAACATACCGCATGTTATTTCTCATTTTCATCCATTCCCACTACACCATGGAGCACTACAAGTCCTTGTGGTATCTCTTCAGATTGTACTTAGCGTTTGATTTTTAAGTTTTTACTTCAAATACACAAGGTTGAAGTATCAATTAACAGAAATGCTATCAATAACTCTATAATGTAAAGGAAAATCTTCTTTGTGTGTTTGAGAAAGATTTAAAGACCAAGGCACTACCTTAAAGTGAGGATTTAATCATTCAGTTCAGTAGATGTATTTATTATATATACTTTACTAAACAGTTCAGTTTATATAAGGGCCAGTGACATTTTTCACATAAATAGTACTAAATTAAATTTGGGATTCTGAATTTTGAAATATCCATCGAACATGCCATGTTCTTTCAGGTCCTGTGTCTTTCACACATTGATCTCTCATCTAAAAAACCCTTTCTGCACTCATATTTCAAGGCTCAGGTGGAAGATTTACCTCTCTTGGAGACTTCCTCAGGTCTTCTGAATAGAATTGTTCAACTTTCTTTGTTGCTACCAGTATACTTTTCATAGCGACAGTTATACTGTAATTATTTTATTCTCACCTACCCCTCACCCCAGGCAATCAGCTTACACAATACAAGGATGGTGACATATTCTTTGTTTCAGCCTCAGAACTTTGTTTCTCCCTCAATAAATATTTGAATGAACGAATGATCAGATAGTAGGATGCCATTATGAGGTTATGCTCTCCACAAATATGATCATCTGGCAAGGTATAAAAATTATAGCAACTGTAAGTCTTCTAAGGCAGACAGACCAAACCAGATACTCTTTAAACAGAAAGGTTCACCATCAATATCACAAATTATGCCAGCTGTGCCATGAATATTAAGTTGAGAGGAAATGTTTGATGTCAAGAGCTGCACAGAAAGGGCAGCCGTTGTAACTTGGCTATATTGCAAGTTCCCTCCTGCTGCCACACACTAAGGTATTCAAACACAATAGCTCTGATCAATGATAAAGTCACGAAGAACAAGATATTTTTGTAAGAAAAAAATGAAGTCACTTAAGAAAAATCCTCCAGATCAAATGTTTCTCAAACAATCTTTATCCACAGGAATCCCCTTGGGCTCTTGTTACAGACTGCAGACTGTCTTGAGACCTGGCTGAGTGTCGACTTTGGCTTCGGTCATGATCTCACAGTTTGTGGGTTCAAGCCCCGCATCAGACTCTGCTGTCAGGATCCTCTGTCTCCCTCTCTCTCTGCCCTTTCCCCACTTGTGCTCTCTCTCTCTCAAAAGTAAATAAACATTAAAAAAAAATGCTGACTGTGATTGGCAGGTCTGGCTGGGGTGACATTCTGCATTTTCTAATAAGCTCTCAGGTGAGGCTGATGCTACAGATCTATGAACCATTCTTTTTAAATAGCACTTTTAGAGCAGGGATAGATATTATATTTTCCTCCAAAGTCCAGAGTGGACTTGTCTTGCTTTTAACCAACATATCCTTGTTAGCATTCTTTGTTATAACCTAATCTTGATGGTGCTAGTTATATAAAACATTACTAAAAATTTGACTGGAAAAAAAATCCAGATGACTTTAAAAATCTTTAAATTGTTCTTACCTATACTCTGGTAATGCCATCGAAAGAAAATTCGTTCAGGTAGAAACTGCAGTATTTTCTATAAAACAAATTTAAAAACTGGTAAGATAAAGAGAACATAAACTACACATTTCATGATAGTACTATGTGTGAAAAGTATATACATAGTTCAGAAAAGAAAACAGAAAGAAAACAAATGATTTATAATAAAGTAAATAGCACACCTGACCCTGTAGCCCATGGGACAGTGTCTTACTTGCCCCAGGCAACCTTCTTTACCTGAGTACCTTAAAGACATCACTGTCCCAAGTTTAATTCTTCCTAAAAGAAAACAAGGAAAAGAAGGGTGGAAAAACACCTAAAATGATAATTTTATCTTAATTAAATCATAGCCATTGCTTAAGAATTAAAAGAATAATTTCTCAAATGCTAGATGCCCCAGGTTTCTGCTTTTTGGCCTTCAATTTCCCGTTTGCATTATCATTACTAGTCTCTGGATACAGACCAGAGTTGGGAAGAAATATGAACAACAAAGAAGAGAAGACCTTGAACATTCATTCAGTGAAATAACAAAATGAAATTGCTGCCAAGAATTTCTTGAAATAAATAGCTAAGAGTAAGTTTCAGATTGCAGACAGGACTTCCACCTCCTTTGCCCCAAACACTGGAAGGTACGATAAAGAATGAATTTATGACATATAAGAGTATTTGGCTAATAAAACAAATCCCTCCCCAAACCCCAAAGGACCTTTTTCTTTTTTCCCCGCTGTAAAGTAAGTTTTGGCAAGTTACCGTTGGATCATAAGATTCCTTGTACTTTATTTGCAACCACCTTTTTAAGAAATGTAGAAATTAAAAAAAACAGTCAAAACATTTTCTTGTTATTGAAAGATATCACTATTTTACCACGAAAAATCTTCTTTCTAGGTTATCTAAGCTAATATTCTAACATTTTAAAAGACGAAGGTAAAAAATTTATATCCAGATCTCCCGAATAAGTGTATTTCCAGGCAGCTAATAAACTGCCTCCTCCATCTAAACCTGCCTGGGGTTTTGTTTTGTTTCGTTTTCTTATCTTAACTTTCCAAGTGGGTCAATAACATACATGTATCACATCATTCATTCTCAGGTGACGACAGTAAATGTATAAGAACGTCTACTGAGAAAAGGCACAACAGGTAAACTTGCATCAAACGCAGGTGATTCCAAATGGCACAGACTTCACACTTGGCCTGGATGCTTTTCCACCCACAGCCTGGCACTGATGGCACCGCCTCACCATCCGGCTCTCACTGCAAGCGTCACCTCCCCATAGAGGTTTTTCCTGGGCGTTCCTTCTAGAAGAGCCTGGCTCCCTCCCCACTGCTCTGATGCTTTCTCTACTGCCCGTTCTGTCCTCTTCATCGTCCTCATCCCTCACTGAAGTCTTCTTCAAGTTCACTCATTTGAAGGCAGTATTTCTTCTACCAGAGTGTAAGCCCTGCAAGCGCAAGAACGCCTCTGTCTTTTCCTCTTAAGTATACCCAGCATCTAGAGCATGGCTGGCACACAGCATGTGCTCAATAAATACTCAGTAGAAGAATTCTGCATTCATTTTATTTGTAAAACCATGAGGTTTACAGGTCATCCTGACCTTTGCTTTGTCCCTTTGTTCACGTTAACATGAAATGTACCTTTGTACTCCTTATATGTCATTGACTGATGACCAATATTTATGTTAAAATGTATGGGCATTTTTTTTTGTGATATATTTTTTTTTATTTATATATGAAATTTATTGTCAAATTGGTTTCCATACAACACCCAGTGCTCATCCCAAAAGGTGCCCTCCTCAATACCCATCACCCACCCTCTCCTCCCTCCCACCCCCCATCAACCCTCAGTTTGCTCTCAGTTCTCAACAGTCTCTTATGCTTTGGCTCTCTCCCACTCTAACCTCTTTTTTTTTTTTTTTTCCTTCCCCTCCCCTGTATGGGCATTTTTTAAACCCTGAACTTACTAAAGAAAACTCAAAGAATAAAAGCTGTATGATTTAAAAGAATTTTTCAAACTCTGACAAACATAAATAAAAAAATATAAATATATTTAGTTATGGTATTTCTTACAAATTCTTCATACCACACATCTACACGGATGAAAATGCTATAAAACTATATCGAAGACCATTTCTGATTATATATATTAAAAGCTGTATGTGGCTGACCACATGGCTGACAATCACTGACACGAGCTCTCTCCTACATTTCCACTTTTGACTTCCTCTAGAACATGTTGACTTGGTATTTCTTAAGTGCATAACTCTAAAGTGTATCCTATATCCTGTTTTATTCTGTATTAATGCAGACATACTCCCAAACACACTTACACACACACATACACACACACACACACACACACACACACACAATGGACAATCAAATCCTATTTAGTGAAAAATATCTACGCACTTGATACCAAGCTTGGTGTCTGAAATGCAAAAATAAGTTCATATTCATAAAATACTTAGTTCTTCCTTCTAAGGGTTTTGTGATTAGTGGGCAAGAGAGATGATAAAGAAAATATCATTCAAGAAGAAAAGAAAAAAGCCCAATAGGAGTTTGTATGAGGAGGTGTAGAGGTGAGGGGGAAAGCACCTCATCTCAGAACCTTCACAGAATGGTTCCAGAAAAAAGGGATGCTTGAGCTGAGACTTGTAGGATTAATTAAATTAGCCTAGTGGAGAACAGGAATAGAAGGAAGAGCATGTGTGAAGGCTAAGAGGAAAAACAGCTTGATACCTGAAAAGAACAGCAGCAGTTAGAGGGTCTACTTGGTTAGTAGGTAGATGAGGATGGGAGGAGAAGGAACTGGATAGGTGAGGCCATGATCTCATGAAGCACTGAATAGGTTCAGTCCCTGAACAAGTTCCAGCTGGGGGGGCGGGGATTTAAGATGACTGAGACGAGAGGCAGAGACATCAATGAAGAGGCAATGGTAGCATTTCAGAGAAGGAATGAAATAGCCTGGACAAAGCTCAGCACGGTAAAGAGGAGATGCATATAATAATGATATTTGAAGGTAAAACTGTTGAGCTGGCAGTCAGAGTAGTTGTGGTGAATGGAGTACTCAAGAAGGATTTCCTAGTGGCTCAGTATGGCAATACCCCTATCTAAGACATCAAATCCAGAAGGAATCCCAGAATTGAAACATGTCCAATTTGGTTCTGGACATCCTGGAATTGGAGGTGTCAACAGACTTCTTAGAGGAGATGTTCTAGGCAATTAGATATATATGGGTCTGGAAGGCAGAAGCAGGACTTGGATGGTAACAGAATATAGGCAACAGCTGAAGATATGTATGCGTAAGGTCCCTCTGAGAGGGCTTAAAATGACAGAAGATGAGACCCTAGAGACATCAGTGCATTGAAGCTCTCTGAAGACAGTAAGGATGAAGAAGGTACAGCAGAAGCTAGAGACATGTGTGCACAGGTCAAAAAAGAAATTTTTGATGTGCCAAGTGTTTGCACATTTATTTATTTTAAAGATTAAAAATACTTATGACTATTTATACGCACAACTAGTTAGAAAAAGTTAAGGATGATGGAAAATATAAGAAACTGATTGCTACCTAACAAAATAACCTCAGTATCAAACCAAGTAAACTCAACGTTATCTGTTGCTCGAAGAACCCATAACCTTCGTCAGCCAGACACCAAACACCAGGCAGGATGGATCAATCTATACATTGCGCAAAGGCAAGTAAATGGCTCTTTGGGGGGAAAAAATCAAAGCAGGTCTTCCCCTTGCAATATATATCAACGTGTGTATAAGATGAATAATACACAAAAGGAAGTAAGTAGTATCAACTGGGTTATCTGTTAAGATCCACTATATTAAAAGGGAATCAGAAGTAAATATATCAGTTCTCTATGGAATATTTTAAAAGAACCCATGTAAACACTGTCCTACCAACAAAATGTAAACCTGAACATGACCAGGAGCTACAGACAAGGCCACAGACAGGAGTGAGAACCCAGAGAGCTGTCTACAAGTTATAGGAAAACATCACAAGCAAAGAGGTTTGTGTGAGAAAATCAACAACTCTGGATCTGAAAATAAAGATCAGGGTCTCAGCAGTCTATTGCCAACCCAAAAGAGCAGCTCTATAGCCCAGAAAAAGCACGACCTGGGGATGGGCTACAAGTCTCCAGACGGAAGAGAGAAAGAAGGCCTCCATTTACATCTTAGTTTTACAGTTCAAACTCAAACTTTCCCTTCACTAAAAAAATGTATTACAGGGGTGTCTGGGTGGCTCAGTCAGTTAAGTGTCCCAACTTCGGCTCAGGTCATGATCTCATGGTTTGTGAGTTCAAGCCTTGCGTCAGACTCTGTGCTGACAGTTTGGAGCCTGAAGCCTGCTTCAGATTCTGTGTCTCCCTCTCTCTCTGCCCTCCCCCCACTCATCTTCTGTCTCTGTCTCTCTCAAAAATAATAAACATTGAAAAAAAGTTTAAAAAAATGTATTACAAAGGCTAATTCAGCATGTTTGATAACAGATGAATAACACTCGTTGCAGGTGGAGTTCTCTGGGAGATGAATGCTGTGGTGGAGTTAGCAGTGCCCTGGTTTACTGGAAAAGTAACATCTGTGCAAGGGAAATGAAGCAGTAGGAGGGGGCAGGGAGCCTCAGACCACCATACAGAGCTGAAAGTATCTGCCAGCCTAGCAGAAGCTCCAGAGCAAAGACGGCACATTAGAGGGGCCATGTGTGCCTGAAAATGGTGAGGTCCTTGTACCACCACCTTGCTCCGTCACTGGCTGGGCATCATGATGAGAAGAGAGCGACTGTAGTTGGAGAGCTGAAGGCACTTACAGCCTCGGGCTGCCAGCTGGCCCTACTCCTTGCAGCTAGGTAGCAAATTCTTTCTTGAAGAGCGATGTGAGCTGCACATCACTCTGTCAGCCACAATAATCTTCCAATTATTAATTAGAATATTCTCATCATATTAAGAGGCTGAAGTACTAAGAGTAGTGAACCCTATTTCAGGGGCATCCTGTCTGCTGGCATTGTTTCTCATCAATGGGCTGCTGCCGCACATAG